CTGTCTCTGTCTCTGTCTCTGTCTCTGTCTCTGTCTCAGTCTCTGTCTCTGTCTCTGTCTCTGTCTCTCTCTCTCTCTCTCTCTCTCTCAATCTACCTCTCTCGCTCGCCAAAGGCCTATCGTTTCCTGTCGGCCCCTATGTCGCAATTCACTTCTAGTGATTCTAGTGGAGGATGATACAAGGGTGGAGATCATACGCAAGTAGACCTGGGATGACTTGAGGCCCATCCCTCTTAGACACCAGTACCTGCGAACTTAAACCTTTTGAGCAAAAGCCGGACGGACCTCCCTAAGGCTCGAAATAGCCCAAAAGCCTTATATAGTATGATTTGTGGGCACAAAAAGCCTTAAAAAACCAAATAGCCAAGAGCCCAAAAGCCTTTATGGTATGGTCTTTGGGCCCAAAAGCCCTAAAATACGAGTCCTTAGAGCCTTAGGGGCCGAGAGCCTGGGTACTGTCGGACGGTTCTCGTGTTGCATCGCCTCCGCCAGTTCGGCTGACTCTTCTCCCAAAGGGTCCTAAGTACCTTTAAGGGTTCCTTTAAGGGTTTATAGGGTTTTAGGATTCGTTCAAAGGGGTTCCGATGTACCTATATAGTTGAATGCAGGGTTTCTATATTAGGGAGTGATTCCGAGGGAGTATCCCCCATATCAGTACACAAGAACCTTCGGAGCTTTGCTTGTTCCGACTTCCCATCACGTTTAGGGTTTAGGGGTTTAGGGTTTAGGGGATTTAGGGCAGTTCCCACTACACTGCATCCCGGGCAATCAGAGAGTTTCTCGGAAGAATACATCTGTTCTCTATCTACTTTGACCTGCCGCGACCTACTTTTTTGTAGGGCCCCATGTTCATTCCCGGTGTGGTATGGAAGCTTGCATGTGCTAGTTGTCGTCCCGGCAACTCGCCACTATGTAGCCCAGGCCCCTGACCCTCGACTCTGTGCCCAGGGGCATCACCAAACAAGAGTGTGCGGATTTCTGCGACAAGAAGTCGCGCTGCAACGGCTTCCAGTTTAGTCCGGGAGGCCATTGCATGTGCCCTCAATGCCTTCGCAATTAGAACTGTGACGGACTGCCCCTTCCCTATCCATACATAGTACCATCTTGGAATTAGGTCCCAAAAAGACCATCCTTATTAAGGCTTTTGGGACCTAACTCCATAATGGTACTATGTATGGAGCCTCCGGGATCCCCTTCAAGGGAACCCTACCTCAGCGCTTTAGACACACGCCTCTAGCTCCTCATTTCGGGGTATACTTTTCCGCAAACACAGCATCTCCCAGACAAGCCAGGCGCAACTATCATAGGGGCCTAAATAATTACCTACACTATTTTGGGGGCTCCTTAGTTATAAGTACAATATAATGCGCCCCAAAGCCCTATTCTAATTATTAAGGCCCCTAAATTAGGCTGCGACCTGCAAAAACCAATGTCGCAACCACCACCGCCCGACCTGCATCCTGCGAAACTGAAATCGCTGCTCGGGTTTAGGGGTTTAGGGGTTTAGGGTTTACGGTTTAGGGGTTTGGGGTTAGGGTTTAGGGGTTTAGGGTTTGGGGTCTAGGGTTTAGGGTTTATCCCATGACACCGGATGCATGGCAACACCATCAGCGCTGTTTTGCAAGCTTAGCTTTGCCCATAGACTCCAGTATAGTTCCTTTTTGTGGTGTATACTTAAAATCCTACTTAAGGTAATCCCAAGAAGGAACTACTATGGGGCCTATGGGTAGCAAGCACCACATGCTGTCGAAGAAGCTGTGGCATGCGGGCGGAAGGGGGCAGGGGGGATCCCGCCCGATGCGCCAGAGAGGGTAGAGGGGGGTTGCTCCTCCCTGGTTGCTCTGCTTGAGGTTGTCTGCAATTTTTGAGCAATCGAGGTGTGCTCTGTGGGGTTTGCTTTGAGGATGTAGGGTGTGTGGGGCTTGGGGATTGATGACATCGGCCTGGTCTGCAGCATCTCTGAAAGCCCTTCGCGAAAGGAGCTTGGGAGTTGCAGGTCCAGCTGTGAGGTTACTAGATTCCCCACTAGTACCCTGTTGCCCTTTTTCTTTGTGGGTTCCCTTATGAAGCCAAATAGTAGGAAAAAGGGTACCCTTATTATTCAGGGGCTACTGGGGCACCTAGGTTAAGTTGCATCGCCAAAGGGTTCAAGTAGCCAAAGGTTCCAAGTTTAAGTATAGTAGCTGGGAGCTAAGATTATTTGGCTACTTGGTCACTTGGGGCCATTTTGGGATTTATAAGATGCAACTATAGGTCTAGAAAAAGATGACTACCTGCCGAGATTCCTTTGTCAGCCCATGAATTCAGAAGCGGGCACAGGGCCTCGGGATTGCCGCAAGTCGGTGGTCGCTACCTAGAATACACTGGGTACCCGAAGCACAAGAAATGCAACCATCATTTCATGGCTATCTCCTTTCAAACCCCAAACTCTGCGCAAGCCCTGAACCCAGAACTGCTGCAATAATCCCTAAACCCTCAACCCTAAGCCCTAAACCCTAAACCCTAAACTCTAAACCCTAAACCCTAAAACCCTTAACCCTAAACCCTAAACCCAAAACCCTAAAACCCGAGAAGTCGATGACCCCAAACCCAAAACCGCAGAACCGAACAGCCCTAAAACCGTAATCCTGAAACGCCTAACGCCAGAACCTTATAGATACATGGAGCCCTTATAGGAACCCTTAAGGGGCACTTTAAAGGAACCCCCAGTACCCGACAACCCGAAACCGGCCAGTCTGCGACATCATCACGAGCAAGATGCCGGTTTTTGCCGATGGCCGCGCGGGCTACCGCTGCTACCTGAAGTTATCCGTGGCCTATCTCGAGCTTAGCCGGTTTTGGGGTTCTTCGTTCACGACGAACTCCACAGGCCAAGGTTAGAAGAGGGTTTAGGGTTTTAGGATTTAGGGTCTCGGGTTTAAGGTTCAGGGTTGAGGGTCTATAGGGCTTCGGTGAAGGAATCCGTGCCCTAAGCTTTGGGTTTTCGAGGGGTGTTGGGGTTTAGGGGTCAGGGGTCAAGGCTCAGGGTGTTAGGTAGTTTTAGGGTTGAGGCTTTTAGGATATACCTAAGCCTAAACCTACCAGAACCTTTTTTTGTTCATAAACGTCCCTACAAGTTCTGTATTGGGGTGTAGAATTAAGAGCCTGCAGCGGAGTAGGTGATGGTAGTTTGAGGCAGGGTTTTAGGTAACATAGGGGCCTAAATAATTACCAATACTATTTAAAGGGTTCCTTATTGTAAATATAGCATAATGGGCCCCAAAACCCTATTGTGACTATTAAGGCCCCTATATGAGGGTTCTTGTCAAGCCCTTCATTTTGTAGTGTTGGGTTCCTTTAGCGGTTCAGGAGTCGCTGCAGGGTTTAGGGTTTAAGGGTTTAGGGTTTAGGGGTTTAGGCTGAGGGGTTTAGGGTTTAGGCTCTAGGGGTTTAGGGTTGAGGGTTTAGGAGCTCAGGGGTTTCGAGTATGGGTTTAGGGGTTTGGGGTTTAGGGTCGCAGAAGCTGCAATCTTGGTATCCGTTCGGGGGCCAAGGGTAAGTACTGCAAAGGGTTTAGGGTTTAGGGTGTAGGGTTTAGGGCCATAAAGGGTTAAGAGCTTAGGGTATAAGGGTCCATGTACCCAGACTGTATAAACTTTGGTCTTAAGGTCGTCCATTTGCAGGTACTTTGGGGCCAAAGTATATACTATTTGGGTACATGGCACGTCAGGGCGTCTGGCAGCCGAGAATCGTTTATCTCGACTGCTCCGATGGAAGGACTTGCTATCATCTTATTGCAAGGGCTTGGGTATAGGGGTCACCAGCGGTCCGTGTGTTGCGTTCTTTATCCTGAGGGTCCATGTGCCCAAATAGTGTATTTTTCGGCCCCAAAGTACCTAGATAGGGACTACTTTCAGGCCAAAAGTACATGCTAGTTGGCCACATGGACCCTTAGGGGTAGGGCCTTAACCAGGAACTGTTCTACATTGGTGCCTATGGGTCTGCAGGTTTCGCCTGCAGAGTTCGAATTTGAAATTCTGACCCATCTTGTATTCCGTAAACCCCTAAACTCCTAAAGCCTAAACCCCTAAACCCTAGACCCCTCGACCCCTACACCCTAACCCCTAAAGAGTCGCCGGATCCGGCACCTACAAGCCTCCAACTCCGGATCCTGACCCCCAAGACTTAAAAACGCCGCGTCCAGCAAGATTCCCTAGCTTGACCCCCAAAGAAGCCATAATTCAAGTCCTACCTGGGTATCCAAAAACCTACACCCAATAAATTTGAGGTCATCGCCTACTAGTTTGTAGGGTTTGGGGATGCAAGTACACCCTATGCTTCGGTAGAACATAGAGGCCTTAATAAGTACCTATAATATTTCTGGGGGTTCCTTACTGCAATTATAGTATAAAATGCCCCACAACCCCATTCTAATTATCAAGGCCCCAAAATTAAACCCAAAACTTCGGTATCCTTCCTAGCCCTAAACCCTAAACCGCTAAACCCTAAACCCTAAACCCTACTAGCATCCCCCCCCCCTCAAAACACAAACGTGCAAGCCGAGGCCGCCACTAACGCCGGAGTGCCAATCCCGCCCCGGGTCGTCCGACCAAAGCCGCAGGCGGCCATCCAGGGCTCCCCTATTATACATATATATATATATACACATATATATATATATCTAGGTATACATATATATATATATATATAGGTCTATATATATATATGTATATATATATATATATGTATATATATATATATAATGTGTGTGTATACATACATATATATATATATATATATATGCGCATGATTTCACTCAGTTGGTAGTCGACATATAATTGTTTTTTTATTTATTGAGCACTGTGTATATTCAAGTATGTACACACATGTAAGCCCAACCTGATTAGGCAATCCTAGCATTTGGGGGTTGTACAGGGTTCCTTAGTCGGGTTCCTACAGCCAGGCTACATGGTCTACGGTTTAGGTTTAGGCTTTAGGGTTTTGGGGTTTAGGCTTTTGAGTTCTGTAGAGGTCTAGAGAATATAGAGGGGCATTCCAAGGCTCCTGTAATGTAAGGAAATGTTCCGCAAGGTCTCTTTAAGGGTTCTACCAGATTACAGGGTGCAGGCTTCAGGGTTGCGGACCTAGCGTTGAGCGCATGCAGGCTTTTTGTAGAAAGCGCAGTGTTGGGCGCGCAAGGTTTTTAAACATGCTGGATTTAGTTCAGGATTGGGCGGTGGATTGAGAGCAGTCGCTGGCAAAGAACATGCACAAGCACAGTAGTTCGCACGGAGGCCTGCTAAAGCAAATTCAACAGATGAAGTAACCATGCTAACCAGCTGCAGAGGCGGTTCGATAAAACGTGAAAGAGGGAGCACGGCACCTGAAGGCCTGAAGGGAAACTGGCTGCAAAGGCGGGGACTGGTGCACGACGCACAATTTAGAGTGAAGGCAACCGAGGTAGGGGCGATGGCCTTTGGGCTTTTCGTTGGACACGTCGAAAGCACGGAAGCATTGAAGAGGACTAATATCTAGCAGGGTCGAGCACTTTAGTTTTCCTATGCGGAGACAGGCATGCGACAGGTGGGTCGTCCCTTTTTGAACTAGTAGAGCTTCCAGGAGAAGTTAGCTGGGGCACGAGGACGCCGTGATTCCAACCCACGCTTGTATATTAATGTGAATTGGGGTAAGGGGAGTGGATGAAGCACAACCGAATGGAGCAAATCGCAACTGCACCGTGAATACATAATCCTTAAACCCTGAATCCTAAAACCACGAAGCGTCAAAGCCCGACTGAGTGCCCGAGCGACAGAAACACCCGTAAGTCGTCCGTCCGGGGTCTACGGTTCGCTTGTTCGGATAAGGTCATTGAGTAGACCACGACCCCGTAAGAAGCCAGTAAACCGGGCACTATAAATTCTATGAACCTCGCTGACTCAAGGCAATCACTAGAATAGGGTTTTGGGGCCCTTTGGGATATATTCCAGTTTACCAAAAATAAGGACAGTTAAGGAAGATTGTAATTCTTCAGGATCCTTACCGGCCAAAACCGGCGAAGCCAGCGTACCGCCCGAACATGTACACTCCACCTCCGTGCCTCAGCGGCCAGGGGGTTTAGAGAGTAGGGTTTAGGGTTTCAGGCTTGGGGTAAAGGACTTGTTGCTGAAAGGTTCTGTAGATGCTGAGCATGGGCTTGATGATAGTTCAGGTTCAGACCCACAATGTGTTGCAATGGGACTCTTGTAATCCCTTCTCCTTTTTCTAAATCCCTACTAATAAAAAAAGCATTGGGGCGAATCCGTCCGAAATCATCCCTGCCCTTTACAACCTATTCTGAATTAGCGGGGAGGGTTTCGAGGCTCCAAATACCTTTGGAGCACAGCAAGAGCAAGAGCAACAGCGGGAGCAAAAGTGGGAGCAGCAGCAAGAGCAAAGCAAAAGCAGGAGTAAGAGCAAGAGCAGGAGAAAACGCAGGAGCAACAGCAAGAGCAGGAGCAGGTGCAGAGACACAGCAGAAGCAACAGCAAAAGCCAGCGCGGGAGCAAGAGCCACAGCAGGAGCAAGAGCACGACCCCTCAAAAGTGGCAGTAGGGATAAACAAGAATCACCCCTTATTAAAAACAATTTCCGAGTTTCTATTGGTGGTGGTGGGGGTGGGGGGGGGGGCTGGGGGGCCGTTTAATATTAGGGGGAAGAGATTGGGGAAGCTTCTTGAGTTCAGAATCCTAAACCCGAAACCCCTAAACCCGACACCTCCAAACCCTCAATAGGGTTTGGGGTTTAGGGACCCTAAACGCCTAAACCACTAAACCACCTGCGAAGTGTTTATGGACCTAAGCCCCTAGACTGAAAGTGGTATCTTCGCGTCGCCTGCGATCCGAAAGTGACAACACAGTTTAGGCTTCAGGTTTAGTGTTTGTGGCATATAGGGTTTAGGGGTTGGGGTTTATGGTAAAGCCTCGCATCCTGACAAAGGGGGCTGACTAATTGCTAGTGCTCTCCTGAAAGCTTTTGCATATGAGTGTACTAGGGGTTAAGGGTTAGGGGTTTAGGGTTTAGGGTACACCCTCCCGCCCAGGCCCCCTCCCCGCAAAAAAGAGACAGTCTCATCATGAAGGCCCATATATTCAACCGTCAGAGTAACTTTAAACCCTGTACCTCTTATCACAACTCTCCTAGAAGGCTTAGAGGAACCCTTAAAGGGAACCCCATCCTAAACCCTAAACCCTAAAGCCTAAACCCTAAAGCCTAAACCCTAAACCCTAAACCCTAAAACCTAAACGCTAAACCCTAATCCCTAAACCCTAAAGCCTAAACCCTAAACCCTAAACCCTAAACTGTGAGGTTTTCAAGCTTAAGTGCTCACACCTCAAGGCTCACGATCCCCAGGGTTTAGGCTTTAGGCTTGAGGGCTTAGGGTTTAGGGTTTAGGGTTTAGGGGTTTAGGCTTTAGGCTTCAGGG